GGTTTTTTGATTTATAGAAACAAGGAAGGGCTTTTCCTTGGGTTCCACTCCTCTACGTCTGTAATGTTTTTTAAGAAGTATATTTTTTTTTTTGGGAAAATGTTTTCTTGAGTATGTTTGTAATTATGTTTAGGAAATACAATTGATTTTGAGGAATATATTTTATTGGGATTACGTAGGTGAAATTTTTTGTGAATTTTTCTTGTTAAACCAAAATTCTTGATTTAATTCGGCTTCAAGTAAGCTTCTCACAAAACCAAAATCCAAATATTTTGAACGAGGGAAAAGAATGGGAGTTTGAAGTTTGGAAAAAATCGACATGAAAATAGAAAATAAGGTTTTTTTAGAATTAGTTTATGTAATAAGATAAAATGTGTGTTTATGTTGGTTGCATAAAAAATAAGCTTTTTCAAAAGATTTTAAGTGTTTAATAAATTTGAAGAAAGACTTTTTCAAAAAAAGAAATCATGTTTTAATAAAAAACATGGTGACTATATTTCATTTGTTTTCTATAGTTAAAGTAATTATATGAAGTTTATCCTCTTTAGAGAACAAATAAATTATATGTAATGCTAGATTTTCCCATATTTGTATCTTAAAGCTCATTAGGAATAAAACCCCCATACTAATGACTTAGCTAATTAAGGTGCATCTCAAATATCCAAAAAAGTTTGCCTCGATGCTCGATGACCCTTCAATCGACCATATTGACCGCAATATGCATCGATATGAGGGGAAAAAGAAAAAAAAATAAAAATAGATATATATATATATATATATATATATATATATAATTTTAAGATATTCAAGTTTTTATAGATCTACTTGATACATTATAGCATTATATTATGCAAATGATCATCCAGAGTTCTGGCATATTATAATTGGTTGAATATGCGCCTTTGATTATTTAAAGTTGACAAACGACACCCATTATGTTTTGACCTATTTTGATAATATCAAGAATAAATTTGAGTGAATTTCTAATTTGGGCCCGTTCAAGAAAATCTTGGGGCCCATTTGAATGCCAAATTCTGTGCTTATTATTAAACCTATGCTTAGACATTTCTAAACCATATTTTAGATACTTCTGATAAAGATACTTAGGTTGGCAGATTTGGGTGAGCTAAATAGCAAAATTGCCCCTTATTATTGGAGTCGCGGAGAAAGTATAACTGCACTCAAATTAGGTGGCGTGTAGCATGATCCTGCAGGACCACTTTATACACTTCTTCCCATCCTAAATTCTTCTCACCCCAAAGTCGACCTTGTCCCCATCGGGCCAGTCCAAGCCCAGTCCGGCACTATTGGGTCATGGCTGGGCTGGGTCAAACCGGACTAGCACTCTGGCCCGAGACCTACTTTTTTAGTGCTGGGTCAATCCTGCTGGGCCTGACCGCCCAGCCCATTGCCAGCGGTCTTAAAGTTTTCCCGTCTAAGATGGCCCTAAAACATTGGTTTTACCCCTAGGACCAAGACTACATTTCGGTTCCTGGGGACCATAAAACGTTTTCCAGATTGAAAAAACCAACTTTGGGTTGCCTCTTGTATTAAGAGTGTGGAAGGTATAGGGCAATGCTGTCTTAACTGCTGAACCCTAAGGTTATTTTCGTCATATAGGTGGAATCCAAAGGGTAATTTAATCGCACAACACATGTTCCGTCACCCTATCAAATCCAGGTTAGTCTATGTCAAGATGTAAAATTCCGGTACAGTCGTCGGGAAAATCAGGAAAAAGACGTAAACTAAGTCGAAACCTTGCCAGGAAACTTAAAAAGACGCCGGGAAACTAGAAAAGTCACCCGGAAAACTATTTAAAGATCCTGAAAAACTTATTACCACCAAAGTCCACCTTTTTTCTTTGTCGGGCATTTCTCCTTCTCTCCTATTATTTTAGCGTTTCATTTTGGGTACAGTCTACTGTGTGAGTTTTTTTTGGTATATTTTTAGGGTTTTCGTGGCCTGTTAAAGGCCTCCCCTTTATCTTTTTCCATCCCCACTTCCCATGCACCCAAATCCCCTCCACCCCACAAAAGAAAAAGAAGCTTACAGGCTAAGTAATTTAGCCCTGAAAAACCCACAAAAAAACTCCTCTTTTTCCTACCCCTAACGCCTCTCTGCAACTCCTCTCCATGTCCATGTAAAAGAATTTCGGCTAAGCTTTCAGAAGAAGACATGGTTTTTACCACAGTTCCCCTTTACATAGACCCACCCAATTGGCCTCAGGTAAAGGAATTTAGGGTTTCTCTAATACTATCCTTTTTTCTTTGTTCTTTGTTCTTCTTTGAATATACCTGTAGCTCTAAGCTTTCTTTCAACATGGGCGTTAGTCTTAGGTTTGGATTTAGGGTTCGTTTTGTTCTTGGAATATACCAGAACTCTATGCTTTCAACAAAACCTGGCAGTTAGGGTTAGAGCTCAGGACTTTCTCATGGGCTCTTCTCTGATAAAAAAGGAGAGTCTGAGATTTTGAGAAAATGGGGGGTTTGGCTTAGCATTTGGGTTGACGTTTTTATATGGGTATTTCTTGAATAATACCAAACGCTCTAAGATTTTTACAAACCTGGTTCTTCTCTGATTATATAGGAGTTTTTTATCTCTATACTAAATTGTAAGGATCTAAGATTTCTACAAAACTGGTTCTTCTCTGATTATATAGGAGGTTTTGATCTCTATACTAAATTCCAACTAGGTTGAAGTTTTTAAGGTTTAGGTATGGGTTCTTCCTTGAATATACCAGTCATCTTGAGCTTTTACAAAGATGAGGTTTTACGAGAAGTTTTGAGCTTGAGATCTTCTTTGAATATGCCAAAGAATCTCATTGATCTTTCCATAAAAATGTTTACCAAGGGTTCATTCTAGTAGGTATGTGGGTTTTTCTTCAGATATAGAAGAAAGATGGGTTTCTTTTGATTAGTAATAGGATTTTCTGAATTTAGGTCTACTTTGGATGATGAGTAGGATCTAGAGATGATAGATTATTTGGTGCAATTTTCGTTTGCAGCAAGAACAAGAAGGAGGCCAAGAAGGAACGGCCATCGGCATCGGCACAGTTTCTGTGCCAGCTTCCGCGGCCACAGCTGGAAGGGCTCGTGGGGCAAGGCCACCAGCTTCCGAGGCCACTGCACTGCGCTGCCCACGGTGCGACTCGACTAATACCAAATTCTGCTACTACAACAATTACAGCCTCTCACAGCCCCGCCACTTCTGCAAAACATGCAGGCGCTACTGGACTCGTGGCGGAGCCCTGCGCAACGTCCCAGTTGGCGGCGGCTGCAGAAAGAATAAGAGAACAAAAAACAACTCAAGCAATAGCGGCAGCTCGGCGTCCAGCTCAAGGCCCTCTCCACAGTTAGACCACCACAGCGCAGTCACTACTGAACAACTGGGTTTCCCGATGGCCATTCCAGAGTTCATGAATGCGAACCGACAAGCTAGTGGACGTGATTTCTCTACAACTCCAGTTGAGTTGTTGGACATGGTAGATTTTAGGGTCCAGGCAGGTCAGTTAGGGCAACACAATTTTCTAGGGTTTGGGCAAGGTGAGGGGCTGGTGGGGTTACAGCAACAGGGATTTTATGGGTTGGAAGGTGGGGAGCAGGGTTATGTGGGCGCAAGTGGGCTCAGGATCAGAAACCCACTTGAAGATGTGGAGAATGGTTTCATGGGTGCGAGTGGATTCAGGGGGAGGAACACAGGTAACATACCCCAGGCGGCGGTGAAATTGGAGGACGGACGGAGTTTGGGGCTTGTGGCAGCAGGTTTAGGTGTTCAGAGGCCGGATTCCGGCAGCGGAGAACAGTACTGGAATCCATGGACTGATCTTTCTGGCTTCACATCAAGCACAGGGCCTTTGTTGTGATCATCTTATTCTATTTGAAAAGTAAAAAGGAAAACAACAGAAGAAGAAGAAAGGGGGAGAAGAAGACCATTAATTCTTGTTTTCTTGTCGTTGTTTTATTTTTGTTTCATTGAGTTATTGAGTGTAATTGTAAAGCATGGAAAGCGTCTTTTGTTTTATTGATAGTTTGGTTCCTTCTCCATCGTCATTTTCTCTCTTCTTAGTTGTGGCATTTATTTAGGGTTTTGTGTTTTTTACTCGTGCAGTAGAAGCCTAATTTTTTTTCAGAAGTCACTTTTGCAGATGAGTGTTGTGTATATGATGGATTGAATCATTTACTGGATATTCTCTTCTTTTTTTGGTGGTTTTTTGGTGCTTTTCTTCTCTGAAATCCATTAAAGCCACCACTACTCCAGGTCTCTCTCGTCTCTCTCTCTCACTTATACAGTTATGAGCTTTTATCATCTATTCTTTGTAATTTTCTTTGATAGCTCGATGGGATTTCATAAACTACTGTGGGAAAACATCAAACTCATTTGATCATATTTAGCAATATTTTCTTTATAATTAAACTGTTTAAGTCGTCAAAAGTTCTATCAGCTAAATGGGATCATCTCAATACTCAGCTTGTGCCTTTTTTTTCTTTAATTTTGTTATTTCTTGATATTTATTTCGTGGTTCCATGAATTCACTGAAGAAGCTGAAGAGTGTGATCATTTCACCTCGCAATTTAAACTATTTTTATAATAAGTGACTTTATCCATTGGATAAATAGATACATAAGGTGGGGTTTTGGCGGGAAACTAACCAAAGCATCAATTGATCTGAAAGGAGACATCACAAGTGACCACGAGAAAGATTATGTTTTCTCAAATTTAATCATTGTTTTGATCATTTAACTGTCCAGATTTATTTTCTTTTCTTCTTTTCTGTATCCTTCCTCTCTGCTATGATTTCATGGTTCCTTCCTTCTTCTACAGAGAGAGAGAGAGAGAGAGAGAGAGAGAGAGAGAGAGAGAGAGAGAGAGAGAGAGAGAGAGAGAGAGAGAGAGAGAGAGAGAGAGAGTAGAGTAGAGTGAGTAGTAGTAGAGTAGTAGTAGTAGTACGTGAGTAGTACGTAGTAGTAGTAGTACGTA